AGAGAAAGAGAAAGAGAGAGAGAGAGAGATAGAGACAGACAAAGGAAACTATAAAGAGAAAGAAGAAGAGGAAAAGGAAGAGAAAGAGAAAGAGAGAAGAGACAAGGACAAGGGGAAAGTGACGAAGCAAGAAACAAAGCAAGAGGAAGTAAGGAAAAGAGTTTTGCTACATATTGTGTTATAGAAAAAGAGGTATCTATATGAACAAGGCATCCTCACTTCTGTTTCCACCGGCTTTGCAGAAGTGCTTTCAGAAGTGCCCAAACGCAGGGGAAACACACCAAAAAACAAGACTTTGGCTCAAAGTCTGGCAAGAAAGTCTTGTTTCTATGTCTCAGGCAAGATTTTGTGAAGTCTTAACGTGAAGCAGGGGCTCAAGGAATAATTTTGGGAGATCCACTGCGCGTTGCCCAGGCAAGGTTTGCTAAGAATCAAGAGATCGTCCAACTATGAAGTCCTGGAGATTTCAGTCATTTTTGTTAAGAGCTGTCATGTTTGAAGTTGCTGGGTCCAAGTTCTTTGCAACGCAGGGTTTCATAAGGTTCAAGCACTTTTTGCAGTTTGCTTGCCATTCCTGGCACCATGATGGCAACTGCGGACATGGTGGACTTACCGCCAGATGATGCAGGTCTTGAGTTTCAGGACTTGTTCAGCACGCGCATGGAGAACCCACTGATGGCAGAGCCAGTTGGGCCCACACATTTGGCACTTCCAGACGCAGATGATTGTCCAGAAGAGATGGTTGCCTTTACGGGTGAGGGGTCGTGTTTTGATTGCAGTGGCAAACTACTTGACTTATGTTTTTTTAGGCCAATGTGAAAGCCACCAACCATTGTTATTTTCTGAAATCATAAGTTCCTGGCATTTTTTGACTTGCTTTGCAGGTGGGCGCAACAGTCTTGCACATGCAAGGCAAAATGCCTTGACAAGCTGAGAGAAGACCATGCTTGTTTTGCACGAGCCCAGAGATTCCAAGAGATGTTGCGAGACATGACACCAGTTGACAAGACCAACTTGGTCTTTGACATGGTGCGACGAATGAGAACTAGTGACAAGTGTGTGTGGAGAGGCTCTAAACCCTCAGCTGCCCAGTGGGTCTTCCTGGGCCACTGTGTGTGTTTCAAGGCCTTTCTGATCCTTACTCAATCCTCAAAGACATTCCTCAACCGGTTGATTGAGGCCATTGATGCTGGTGCAGTGGTTGCACCACAAGATGGCAGAAAGACCCGGGAGAAGCGTGAGGCTCCACAGATGGCAAGTGCTGACACCTTCTTTTCCAACATGTGGAGTTTTCTTGGTGAATCGTTGGCAGAAACTGCCCTTCCCGATCCAGACAGTGAAGAGAATTTTTTTGAGGGAGTTTCAGAAGCAGATTTTGATGCTCTCACCAGGGAAAGGGGAGCAAAGGATGTTTACAATGAGTTTGTCCTCGGTGATGCCAACCCTAGTATTGCAGCTGCTATGCCACCAAATGAGCGGGAGGTAAGATGGATTCCACACACCAATATTGCTCAGATGTATGAGCAATACAAGTTCCAGCATAGCAGCGACTCTGAACCATTGTGCAGTATGTCAGTGTTCTATCGGTGCTGGAAAACTCGATGGTGTGGTGTCATCCGCATCCGGCGTGCATCCCAACATGCACAGTGTGAAACCTGTGCAAAGTATGCTCAGTGGCGACTGAGGGCACGCTCCGAGCAAGAGAAGGGTGAAACCCAGGCTGCCTATTCAAAGCATTTGTCCCAGGTGTTTGCTGACAGGGATTTGTCAGCAAGGTACAACACACACTCAGAGCAAAGCTGTTCAGAGCAAACCCAGATTCCATTCAGCAAGCGCACCCTGATGCTATCTTTAGATGGCATGGACCAGGCAGAAGTCAGTCTTGCAACAACCGTTTTAAAATTCATATTGCGCGCCTGCCAACCCCAAGTAAATGTAATATGTAGTGTGAGGGTTTGGTGCTGTTTTCCATGAAGGGGAAATGTATGTAGTTGAGGAGTTTAGGTGAATAGAAAAGGTCTTCTTATTTCTCCCTCACAGCAGGCCAAGTTTAAATGTCCTCGTCATTGTGGAACCGGGAAGTTGCTCGAGACAAACTGGCGTCCTGTGCTTCACTGCAGCTGCGTGATAATCCATGGACTGGCAGAAATCTATTTTCTGGCTAATGCTGACCAGAAGAAGGATTCTAGCTGTCAGATGCAGATGCTGTGTTACTTAGCATGAGTTCAAGTTTTTGTACCATCATGTTTTTGCAACAGTAGCGGCAACTACCCATGCAATGGCGCTCTTCCTTACAACATTTTTGTCATGACCGCCTGATGCCTTCTTACCCCTTTCAATCTTAGGCCAATCGCTGGAGTGGGCATCACACTTGTTGGACAAGCGGGGCCTCCCGCTTCCACAGCATTTGCAGATCCAATCGGATAACACAGCCCGAGAGGGCCGGAACCAATGGCTGATTCTATGGGCTGCAGAGCAAGTTGCAAGTGGACGTTTCCTTTCAGTATCCACACCATACTTCAGGGTTGGCCATACACATTGGATTGTCGACCGTCGATTCAGTGTGGTAGCCGGAATCCTTGCTCGCGCCAAAGTCTTGGAAACACCTGAGGCGAGGACAAACATTGACCAGCATTGTGCAGTTGTCAGTACTCAGTAATCTTAATCAATCAAAGAAAAGATCTACTGTATTGATGCCAGAGGCTAGATCTTAGAAAGAGATTGTAAAGCGATGCGGTGTTTGAATTGTTGTCTATTTTCTCCCTCCTGTGGCCTTGCAATTCTGTGGGCTAGGCCTTTTGCCAAGAGATCAAGCAGAACCTGGATCCTCTTCCAGGGCATTTGTTGATCGTTGAGAAATTGGATGCAGTGTGGGATTTTCATCCTTGGTTGCAACGTCTTGGGGTTAGCTTGAGCGGAATCGCAATTCTAGGAGATGGTCTACCAGTGGCTCATTCTTTCCGGCTGGTCCGCCGGCAAGACCTCGCAGAGTATTCTGGCGCACATCAGTGGAAGATAGACAAGGACAAATGTAAGAAAACTGCCGGGTTGTTATGTTTGGCTTTGTTAGGCTGTGATACCCTACCTAGGTCACTTGGTTTCCCCTTCATTGACCCTGATTAGTCAGTTGCATATGTAGTCAGCGTGTTGTGGCATGTGTAAAAACCATTTGCCTGCTGCAGGACTTGTTGGAAGGTACTGTGCAGCAGCAGGAGAAGGATGCAGTGTTGCTGGCAAAGAAATGGATCACAAGTCAGCAGCTGAGTCAGCAGCCAATGCTGGTTCTTCCCTCAGCACGGCTAGAAAGGCTTGTCACGAACTTTCCTACTTCAGTCTTGCCAGTCAATCAGTTTGGAGAGGCCACACTTGCAAAGTTCCGCAAGACTGCAGATGCAATCAGCACAGCCCCATGGTTCATGAGTGATGGGGCCAAGTATTTGCGAGACTTGTGTTTTGCAAATGAATATGGCACACAACCAGGTCCCAAAACCTTGCCAATCTATCAGCCTGGCTTCATTAATCGACCTGTTGCCAGTGCTGTTGGGCTGGTTCAGGGGGATGATGGAGATGACATTGGTTTCCAAGACTTTGCTCCTGGAACCCCAAAGCGTGTTGAGGTAACCCAGGCTGTCCCCAAAATCAACCCACGTGGAGCCCCTCGCAGCAATGATGATGAAGATGAGACTTTGGACAGACTGTTCAAGCGCCCTGCAGCCAAGGCTGCCAGTGGGACTAGCAAGCGCATGAAGCGCCCAGCGTCATCTTTAGAGGTTTCAGAATCAGCAGCAATCGAGCCACCGCAACCAAAGGCAAAAGGCAGAGCTGCAGCCCCTAAGTATGGCTGCAGCAAGTGTAGATGGAAATGTGGCTGTAGCAGATGCAAAAACTATCCGCCTCGATGATAGGCTTTTGGAAATTGAATTGACGTGAAGCAACGACCGGCTTAAACGTGTCAGTGTACAGTGCTTGCAAGTCACTGCTTGCCCAATCCATCCATTCTGGGGTCTTTGCAGCAGTGCGATGGCAATGCAACGCACGTTAAACTTTGGTGGTGCTAAGTCCGATGGCAGAAAAGTTGTTTGTGGAATGTGCATGTTTTAGGAAGCTGTTTTCATGTAAAATATATGTGCGTAGAGATTTGTGTGGCATATCAATATATGCAATCATGGTTTCTTACTTACAGCCTAAAGTAAGTAATACAATACAAGTAAGAAAACAAAGCAGGTTTTCTTGATCCACCTCCTGGTGAACATGGGAGCCCCACCACTGCAAAACTTCATCAATCCCCCTTCTCCCTTTCTTTCCAAATCCAGCCCTTTGCCAGGGGCCTGGCCACCCCTCCTTCCCCCATTCCATTTGGACCACAGCCCAAAAGAAAAACAATGCATCAGAAGGAGAACGGTTCATAACCCAGGCACACAGGGGTAGATAGATGCCATGAGCCACATGACCAGCCTTCCCAGGAGACAGAACACTTATACTTGCAAGCAGGGCCTTAAAGGCCACCAGCAGAACAAGCCTTTACATGAACGCACAAAAAGAAACAGATACAAAGCGCACCACCCATAATGGACACACAAGGAAGCAAGACATGCGCACAAGCCACAGTTCTGTCTAGTTAGTTGGCTGAGATACGATCCAAATTTCAACTGCTAGGCCTCCAAGAATTGCCAAATCAACAACAAGAGCCTTTCTGCGCTGTACGTACGTATGTGTGCCCACCCAACTGGAAAATGCACCACATTTGCCTTGACTTTCCTACCAACTTGGACGTTACGTTCTTTTGCCCGGGCTTTAGTGCTAAGGACCGGATCTGAAGCCTGTGAGCCCCCAAAAATTTCATTTTACATGCCTGAGGCAGGGTCTGTTTGGTAGCAATTTGCAAGCTTACATTTTTAACAGAGGGGATAGCAGGAGAGGGAAAGGGGTTTCCGTTTCTTTTTCACACAAGTATAGATGTGTAAATCTAAGCACAGAAGCTAGCCTGGCCTGGTAATGGCTAGCTTAAGCTCTCTTTGTGACAGCAAAAGGGTTAGCTTGAACCTCTCCTCGGAACCAATGTTGGCCAACCCCCCTCCCCCCTCCCGGCCACTTCCCCCCTTGGCAAAGGGGTATCAGGTTTCCTTTCCTGGCCACTTCCTACCTTTCGTGTTTCTTTTTTTGCTCAAGTAGTATATCTATTTTTATATTTATATATAGGTTGATATGTATATATATATGTGTTAAATGTGTAATCTTCATCATCTACACAGCTTTTGCTTAGCAGAGCAGGGTGCTGTATTCCCAATTTGTGTGCAGGCATCAAAGCACAGCTTTGACAGAACTTGAGCTTCAACTTGAACTTGAACCTTTTTGCTCGCGGCCCCGACAGGTTCATGGCGGCTTCCCATTCTTGTTTTTGTGCAGCTCCAGGCCTGACAGCTCAGTGTGATCACAGATATGTTGAAAGTTAGGTTTGTTTGCCTAAGTTCTTGGAACTGATCTTTTTTACCAGTGATGTCAGGCTCGTTGCTGCACCATGCAGCGCAAAACATGTACCAGGCCTGCTGTGCTAACTCAGGTCTCTGGGACTTCTGTGCATTTTTGGTGTATTCAGTGAATCGTGCGCGCGATGGATTTAGGATTGAACATTTTCTTTCAACGCTTTCCTTGGAGGTAAAGACCTCCAATCAGCTGCGAGTGGATGGACTTCTGATAGTCTAATCCTGGGTCCAAACATTTTTTGCCACTCAGACCAGACGCTTCAGAAATATTGCTTTGAATTTGGTTAGCTGTGATGAGATATCTTGGCTGTGACCTGAGGTTGAAGGTAGTTTGGTGCCGGCACGTCAGTCCCTGCCATGTTAGGAGTTCCAGATGTTGCTTTGCTGTCGTCCAAGAGCACAGGCTTCAGATTATACTTGATCCTGTTGAGTCAGTACGGCTTACAAGCTGCAAACTGTCAAATCTTATTTTGCAAGAGTCTTGGTGTTTGCTTTTTATCTATGGTTGACTCAGTGCCCAAGGCTTGAGCATCTGCGTGTCTAAGAGTTTGGGTGCTGCAGCCAGTCGTTCATCAATCAGTCGGATGATTTTGCTTTGGGTGTGAAGGTCTTAGAAGCAGAAATCAGTTTCAATCTCCCAATTTACATGTTAATGTTGAGTGTCAGCCCTAGGCCTTTGACTAGACTAGATAAGATATTTGTCTCATAGAGGCGGCAGATTTATGGCCAAGCGTCTTGCTGGAAGCAGCTTTTGCGCTAGTCTTTGCAGTTTTAACTTGAGCATTGAAATCAGATGTTTGGAAATGCAGAAAGGTAAGGTCTTGAGTTGCAAGGGGACAAATGACTTGCCATTAAGAGATCAAGACGCTGAGGTGGTGCCAAATGTCAAGCCCGGGCCTAACCTTGTCCGACCAGCTCAGATTTATGTCATCAAGTTGCAAGAGTTGAGTTTTCTTGCACAGTTTCACCAAGTGACATGGGACACATCATTTTTAGAGTTTGGTTGGTTGGGGAGTTCTTCTTGTCTGAAACGATTTGCAAGGCTATACACGCAAGAGGCGTTATTGCTTTATAGATGTCAATGTTTCAGGATTCAGACATTTTTTGGTTCTTTCTGCTGTTCTGATATTGTGCTCAGTTCAGGCGCCATAGAATTTTGATGTTTGGTTGCACTCGGACTCAGGCCTTGACCTTGAACTCCTGGAGTGTGCCACTGCAGGGGATCAGTCTGCCTTTGCCCCAGTCAGCCAGCAAAAACTTACCAGGTAGACTGTGTGTAACCAGTCGGTGTTGATGCTTCCCATGTTCCCAGTGGGTTTGTTCCTTCCACTAAAGAACGTGTTTTCCAGGGTTTGTTGAAGGACAAAAAGCCAGAAGGTAGTCACTTTTGCCACTGGTAACTTTTGGCTTGGATGTAACAGCTGGGTCTTAAGCCACCACCTGCTCAACATGTTTGCGCTGCCTCCTCCAGATGAAGACGTTGACTGGCTGGTGAGCCCAGTTCTCAACAGAAAGGGAAAGAAGTCCTTGCCTGTCTCAGACAGTTCCAGTTCCAATGTGCTTGCAGCCCTGTCTAAGAGACAGAAGAAGCAGAAGTCGCACAGTCAGTCCCGGCTGCCTGGTCGTGGTGGAGATGTGGGAGAAGTCAACCATGGCCTTGTGGCAGTTGATGGTTGTGATTGGGAGCTGCCCTGCCCAGATGATGGCATGATCTTTGAGGAGGACATTGTGATCCTTGAGGATGAAGTTATCAAAGAGCCAATGGGTAGAATGGTGCAGCAAGTTCCCCATGTTTCCACGCCGGCAGGTTGCCAAGAGATGTTGATGGAGTTCTTTTCACCTCCAAGAATTGTCCCTGTTTGCCAGTCACGAGGCTGGCCAGCTTCTTGCAGCTGGGACATTACCCATGGATGGGATGCCAACAACCCGCACGACCGTCAGCGGTCATTCCAAGCTCTAGATGAGTTGGACCCTCTCATGACTACTTTGAGCCCTGAGTGCACAATGTTCAGTGTGATGCAAAACTGCAACAAGAAGAAGGTGGACCCCCGTGTGTTTGCAAGACGTTTGGCAGAAGCTGTGCAACACATGAACCTCTGTGCAGATATTTGCAAGCGTCGTGCTCATAGAGGGAGGTACTACCTCTTGGAGCACCCATCGGGTGCTTCATCGTGGCATTTACCTTCAATCGAAGAGGCCAGAAGCATGCTTGGTGCTTACTTGGTGTCGTTCCCTCAATGCCAGTATGGCTTGAAAGCCCCAAATGGCAAGCCAATGCGCAAGCTGACGCGATTCCTCACCAATTCGAGACATGTTGCAGAAGAGTTCTCCAAGAAGAAATGCACATGTGCAGAGCACCAACCCATTGAAGGTTCCTGTCAAGGACACAAACTTTCAAAGTGGGCTCAGGTCTACCCTCAGCCCTTGATCAATGCCATTGTTGACTGCTGTGAGCGTGAGCTTCGGGACCAGTAGTCTTGCAGGCTACTTTGTGTTCAGGCTTGCGATGGTCAGGCAATACCAAACTTGGTACAGTAGAAGACTTGGGGAGTTTCAGAAAAAAGGTGTGAATGCTCCAAGGTTTTGAAAGAGTGAATCAAAAGAAGACGGGCCCAACAACCGCCTTGTGAGCTTAGACATGGAGTTGTGAGCCTAGACATGGAGTTGTGAGCTTAGACTGGCTGTCACAGCGACATGGCTTTTGGACAGATTGCTGAATCACCCATGATGGTGCATGGCATGTCCTTGATAAAAATTTATCACTGGCCAACTTGGCCCAGGGCCAGGATTCCAAGACATAGAGGCTTTTTAGGTAGGTGGTAGGGTGGATGTCCTGCATTCAGCTGTCCTGGCCTAGGAAGGGAGGTGATAAAATTTTATCCAACAGATTTTGGGTTGTCACATGCATGCCCCCCAGAACCTGCTGTAGGTGGGGGCATGAGGTGTAGGTGGGGGTGTGAGGGATTGGATATCCGACGGATTTTATACATCCGGCGGATTGGAAATATCCGACGGATTTGTGTAAAACTGACATCCGGCGGATTTGTTGCACCCATGTGTTTTGGATCTACATTGGGTTCTGAGGTGCTGCTGCTGTGGTGCTGGCAGGTGTGGGCCTGGGCTCCTGGTAGCTTTCCAGTTTTGTTGTGAGTTCATTTGTTGTGAAACCTTTTGTTGGAAGAAGATTTCTCTTTTGTTGGAAGATTCTTTTTTGCCCTCCAGTTTTTCAATCGCCGGCAGTAGATTGTAGAAGGCTTTCATGTCTTGAGTTTGTTGCTGCATAGCTGTGAAGGGCATGTAAGATCTTATTAACCAGAATGTCTATTATATATATATGTATTTTTCTTCATGGTGTATACCTGACCTATCATAGGAAATGGAGTTGTGCAAAAGCACACCATCCCGCACATGAATTTTCACAAGGGCTGGAATCATCCAGAGGTGCAAACTGTTGCTCAGGAATTTGAATCCAAGAGCTGGTTTGCTAGCTTGTCTCTGCGTGATGGTGGAAGGCCAGCCAAATGTGTGACCAACTGGGTGTTGCAATCCAGAAACAATAGTTGATCGTTGATCAGTTAGTCCTTCCTTTCCATATCGCGATCAGCTAGTGAAACAAACGATGGACCAACTGCTGTTGACAAACACAAAACCCACTGCTTGCTCTCAGTTCATTTTCTTTTGCGCTTCACACCACAGCCTTTTCCAAACAGCATCAAACTCATACTTCGTGGATTCCTCTGTGCTGTCTATTGCTGCTGAAGATTGCTGAAGCCATCATGGCCACCTTCTCCTTCCCAGATCCTGACAGACGCCGCCTGCTCATGTCTGAGGGTGAAGTTCCTGAGGTGAACCAGGCCTATGCAAAATCAGAACCAGATGGCACTATGAAGGGGGAAAGCCCGAAGCACAACACTGATGCTTCATCACATACAACTATCGACTATGCGTTTCAGTCCGGCATTTTCCTAGATGATACTTCATCAAGCGCTCAGCAAGAGTTCAAAGATCAGATTTTGAAATCTTTGGCAGGGTTGTTGCAAAAGTACGGATCAGTTTCCAAGTTCTTGTCATCACGTTTTGGCAGTCAATCAGAAGCACAGCTCTTTGTCCAGCACCTGCATGAAGTTTGCAGGGCAGGGCATCCTGTGCACCATGTCCAACATGAGAAGCTTCCTGCTTTGCAAGCTGAGGGATCTGGAAGCTTGACAAAGTCAGAGGTTTTGCAGTTGCCCTTGGCTGCCTTTAGCTTTGGGCCACATTGCAGTGTCAAGTCAGAGCCAGATCACAGTTCATTCTTGGATTTGGCTGAATCCATTTTGACAGAGGGCTTCATATCCAAGACAGAGCCGGTTGTCTGCATGCAGTCTGGAGAGGTCATTCAGGATGCTGCGGAAGTTGGTACTACTGCTCCATGGACAGGTTCTTTGATTCCATTTTCAGTGGGATTTACCAAAGGGCGCTCTCGAGTCCATGCTTTGTTGGCCATTCTATCACTCACCATGGACAACAAGATTGACCTCCAGCAGGCCAGAGATTTCACATTCTGGCCTTCAAACCATTCTTCACGGTTACAACCATTCTTGTTAGTAGTGGAGTCTTAGCAACAAATGTCTCAATTACCCCTTGCCTATCCTGTGTGGGGTCCTTTTGCAGCCCTGGAGGTCAATGAAACCTTGGCATCTTCAATTGCTTCGATCCATGCGGTGGTGCTGGAGCACTCCTCTAAGCAGCAGGAACTCTTGTACAACTTCAGGGCTTCCAACCGAGGGTCTTTGTGCAAGCCGCCTTCCATCCTGACGTGGGTGCAGAGTGTGAAACTTTTGAAGGCTCAAGGTGTTACTCTTGACCTTGTTCAAGTGATCAAGAAATTCAACACAGGCACAGTGGGCAAGCTTCAGCTGGTAGGTGCAAAAGCTGTCGCTGTGAAAAACCTCTTGGAGGTCATGCCAGAGGATGCATTGCGAGTGATTGAGGCCCACTGTCAGAAACTTGGCTGGCAGGGCTGTGTCTTTAGCGATGATGCTCTAGGGTCCAAGAAGACTCTGCCCACATACAACTTCAGGCACAATGTTGGAGGTATGTGGGCAAAGTTGGGCAAGATGTCGCCGGAACAACTTTGCTGCTTTTCAAGCATGTGACCACCGTTTTTGAGCAAGAGCCTGCAGGAGCACGACGCAAGCTGACAAAAGGTGAGCTGGAAGAGAAGGCTGAAGAAGCAGCTTTTGTTGTGAACCTGGGCCTTCTTGCCCAGCAGGAAGTTCCATTCCCAGATGACATGTTGATGTCCTACTGGCTAGAACCCTATGCCACCGGAGAGACAAGTGTGGCCCTCGAGGTTCAGTGTGCGATGGGCCACAAAGACCCCAAGCTTACTCCACGTGGGATTTCGAAGTTGGCTGCAGCGTGCAGGGCTCAGTTATACATTATTGTTGTTTTCTCTTCTTATTTTTTTGTCTCTCTTTTTTTTTCTTTCTCTCTCCTCCTTTACTGCAAGTTTCTTTATATTGTGTCTTTTTCATCCTCTTGACTCTTGTTTCTTCTCATTATCGTTCCTTTTTTTGTTCTGGTTCTGCAATCTGCTGATTCTTCTTCAATTATTATTCTGATTCTTCTTCTTTTGTAATTTTCCACTTGGATTGGCCTCAAAAAAAGACCCCCACAAGTCCGTTTCGACCTGCTTGAAATGCAGGTTTTGAAGGGGAAAAACCGGACTTGTGGGGGTCTTTTTTCACAGGCCAATCCAAGTGGAAAATTAGCATTCTTCTTTGTTTTTTCTTTGTGTTTTTCATGTTCACTTATTCTTATTATTCTTCTTCTTCCTATTGTGTCTGTCTTCTTCTTCATCTCTTTTTCACTTGTTCTTTCTAGTTTCTGCCTCTTGCCCCTTCTCCTTCTTTCTTCTTTGGCTTGTTGCTGTTGCTTTTGCTTATGTGGTTTTTGTTACTTTGCAGTCGTATGATTGGAAGAAGCCTTCTTGTAGAGACATATGCTACCAATTACATAGTTGCAATTATATGGATAATGCATTTGCCCTTGATTCCTCATGGTGCAACTTTGCTTGACATTGAATAGATAGTGAGAAGCTCTGCCAGGATGGATGCCCATGCGACCAATCGGCCCATTGCTGAGTCGGGGAGTCTCTTCAAGTTGCCAACCTTGAGGCTGATGCGTTCCAACTCGTGAAGCAGAGGGTTGACTATGACCTTCGGTGCCTAGCCATTTTCCGTGGGAAGTTGAGCTCCCATGAGAGTGCTCTTCATCATGCTCAGTTGACCCACAGGAAGCAAGCCTTTGAAGCTTCGCTGGCAGCTGCCAAGAAGTTGCTGGCTTCAAATGTCAAGATGCTGCAAGGAACTCGCTTTGATGTTGTTCTTCGAGACTTCAGCAACTTCAGCGACCAGTTTTGCAAGACGTTTGGCTTGCAGAAGGAATCCACAGTAGCTTGGCATAAATCCAGCAAGGTAATTTCTGAAGGTTTGGAAATTTGAGGATGTATGTTTTTGATTCAGTTTCATGGAATGAATGGGTTTGCTTTGAGACTAGGTGGTGATTTCTTTGCTGAATTGGGCATCGATCTGCCGTGTGAATCAAGATCGCCAGCTTTGCCAAACCCGCCTTCTGGCAATGCTCCTCAACGGAGATAGTGGCTTGAACCACTTGTCCATGGTCATCCTCCCACAATTTGGCTATCAAAAAGGCCAACTTTGGGTAGCTGAACATCACTGTTTGAAGAGCTTGTCGAATGCAGGGCTCAACGTCGACAAGACGTTTACCCTGCAGTTTTCAGCCCGACTAGATCAACGTGACACCAGACCTTTGAACTACCATGGGAGGATTTTGACTTCTTTGGGGATGCAGGAAAAGAGTTGGTTGTTCAGGAATTCAGCACTGGTTCGGAATCAGCGCACTGAACCGGCTGATCAGCTCCCTTCAAACCAGATGGTTTTCATTGAAGACCTTCAGCCTGACGCAGTCCCGGTGACCACCGACATTGATGGCTTGGTGGCTGGAGCAAAAAAGTTCGAGCAACTCGGCCCAGCAGCCTACAAACGTGTGCTGGAGGCAGCTTTGGATGGCGTTACACTTCCACCCAAGGCTGGCATCATTGTCTTGGACGCTTCCTTGACAGTTGGAGATTCATTCGAGGCATTTATGCAGATCAGGCATGACTGGCAGGTCCCTTCAGCCTATGTAGGACTTTGCGAAGACCCTGTCAGCTTGGAGTGGTTTGAGAAGACACGCACCCAGGCCCTGGCCAAGCAACACCTTGAAGGAACTGTTTCAGTGCCTGGGTGTGTTCGCATGCCTGCTGAATTGCCACAGGAACATCGACAAGCTGCACCTGCGCCGCCTGTCTTGAATCTCTTGGTTGGTGGAGGCCCTGACAAGTCCTACCCGATCTTCCCAGAAGCGTTGGTGAAGGACCTTGCCATGTGTTACCAAGCTCAAAAACTAGTATGTTCCAATTTTTTAAGTAAAGCTTGGCTGATCAGCATCAGTAAAGTAACTTACCCAATCCTATGGAAGAAACATGGAGTCACAAAGGGCTGTTCATATGCAGGTCCATGAGGTTCACATGGAGTCAGAAGACAAACCAAAGAAAGCCATTGCAGCAATATCTGTAACACACATTAAAAAGGTTATTAGGCAGGTAGTATATATATATATATATATTTGTATATTTTTTTGCTGCCTATGTTACAACAAGTAACTCAAGTCATTTGAACTATTGATTACCGCATCAGTTCTCATCACTGCATCTTGTCATTTACCATCTCCTGCTTTCCATGAGTGGGGCACTCACCCAACGTTTGGTGAAGAGTTCCGGTCCATCCTCGACCGAGTGACTGAGGAGCTCGGGCCCATCCCTGAGGAAAAGCCTCAGGATGATCAGAAGAAGCGGAAGCTCAACGCCAACAACGAGAGAGCTGGCAGTGGCAAGAAGGCTCGGGCAGCATTTGGGGTTGCTAAGTTGCAGGCAATCCCAGTGGAAGACATTGGCACTGAGCATCAGCTTCTGGATGTGGACATGAAGAACACCACAGCCAAGGGCCTCAAATTCATGGTCAAGATTGGAGGGAAGAAGTACATTGTAAACCATGGCACTGCGGTGGCTACCCTCAATGCTGGGCACATCATTGCCGGGTTCGGGAAGGGAGGCTACAAAAAGCTTTCTGCGCACGATGGGGCATCAGAGAAAGGGTTGGTCTATCACTTGACACCAACTTCACAGGTCTTGAGCAATGGCACCCTTCACAACCTGAAGGACTTCTTGGCTGCCAAGCGAGCCCAGGAACCAAACAAAGGTATTGCTTATCACACCGTGACTGACACCGGCAATGCCAGTGACCCAAGTGCTATTGAGCTTGCCTTGGATGTCCGCGTGGAGTTTGCCCCCCAGGCAAATGTGAAAGCTGAAGACATCAAGTCTGAGGAAAGCATGGCCAAAGTTGGAGCAGACCAGCTCTCAGCTGCCAATTTGGTGCCTCATGATGGGTGGGACCAGCCGGAGTTGTGTGGCTTGGTTTGGTGTGTCCGTTGGGCACCACAGGGCCTGATGCCCATCAGGCCTGTCATCGCGTTGAAGCAAGAGGTTCAGATCCAGCCTGGCACAGGCATTTTGCTGTGAGCGCTTCTCAGTGAGATTGTGAGCACCTGTAGATTCCTGTGGGTTTGAATCTTCAGCTCACTCTTAGCTGGGTATCATCCAAAGGTTATCAGTGACTCGATTCGCTTTTGTACAGACTGCCATGTGCACGCACCATTACACTGTAATCCATTGCACAGCCAATATACCTGTAGGATCGAGAAAGCTGAAAGGAGAAAACACAGTGGCATGTTTTTTGGTGTTGAATCCCATTCGATTTGGATTGTCTAATCGCTTGAGAAGTTCCCACCTTATCTGTTCCTGTCATTTGTTGTGCATGGAGGTGCCTCATCATGATGTCCAGCCACAGCAGGCCTCTGCGACACTTAAATCACAGCATGTGACATCGCGCTTAGCGTTGATCATTTCTGTCAAGAAGAGACTCTGTAGTTGTCAAGCTTTGGTCACTCTTGTTAAGGATGGTAGACAGTTGCATTTTCTAGGATGACCGTCTTCAAGTGGTAGATGTTGGTCAGTTTGTATCAATGATAGGTTTCTGTGGTTTAGTTTCAGAGTGAAGTGTTTTGTAACCCTGGGCCCTGTTTTTCAGTCCTTTGACGATCACACCTGTGCTTGCCAGGCGCAGCCCATTTGTTGAGGAAGCTGTTTTAGATGGCGTGACACAGGTGTCAAGCCAGGGAAAAGCAATGCGTCTATTGAAACATTGTTCAGACCTTTAACTTTCACCAAAAGCTTCTAAGGGCTGTTGGAGTTATAGACATAGCAGCCTTTGCCCACAATTGGGGCACAAACGCCATGATGCATCAATGGATTGTTGGCATGCAGGGCAGCAAGGTGGGGTGACACTGACACCACTGCTCAAATTTTTTGGTGAAAAATGGTCAGGCTCAGCGCTAATCCCATCCACCAAGGGGGAAATGACATTCTTCATTGCAGCGCGTTGCCGTTCAAGGGTTGGGACATCATAGATATCATCCAGGGTCCGGCCGCTTGTCCCAGTAATGGCTGACACTATGCAGGTACTGACTTGCAAGGTCTTCAAAAGGGTGACAATGGTCTTTTTCATTGAATAAGTGCCGACTTTGCCCAAGTCCAGGTTCTCACAAGGATGATCAACACCATTCTCACGATCTGCTTTCCTTTCCCTGGTCAAAACTTTGCAAGCCTCCTGCAGCGCTTCTAGATAGGCTCTTTCTGTGATGGGTTTTGACCAATTCCTTTTGTTTTTTCCTCCAAGTGTTCGACCAGGGAAAAGTAGTTTGTCTTCCCCAGAATCAAAAGCACCTTGTAGGTCTTGCCCATCAAAAGGCCACTGGCAGTCCAATCCTACTAGTGGGTCAGTAGTCATCCATTGCCACAGAAGTTTGGCAAAAGAGCGATCCAAAGGTACTGCTCTCTGTTGTGTCTTGCGATTGACTCTTGGGATGTTACATGTTGGCATTCCTGATGAATCAGGAGCAAGGTTCACAAACCAGGATGCGCAGGCTTGGCGGGCAGCGTCAGCCCTTTCACCAAGAGCAATTTGCAAGACCATGAGGACGGCTGCCCACGGTCGGTGACAGCTCTGCACTAAAGTGGGAAAGAAGCGTTGAGTTTGTCCAGCGGTCAAAGGCTCACGGCCACCTCTTTTTTCTTTAACTTCTGGATTCTGGCATTTCTGTAGATGGCGGGAAGAGCAAAATCTCACTGTCTTGCAATGAGAGCGTAATGCACGACAAGCACTTAGGTTCACTTTCTTGATGGGTAAGATGAAAGACTTGTTCTTGACGTCACAGTGGCCTTTACAATTCTTCCATGCACACTGCAACTTCACTTTGCTGCCTTGAACTCGTAGTGGCCCACGTTTGGGGTCTTTGGCTTTCCGACACAGCGGCTTCTGCTTGGCGACCATTGCTGATGTTCTATGTGTGGGTGTTGCTGCCACATCCAGTTCTCAGACTTTCTACTGCAGAAACCTTCCAAATTGTTCTGTAAATGATAAACTTTTGGTGTGAAGCTTGAAGTTTGGTAGACTGAGACATAGAAACAAGACTTTCTTGCCAGACTTTGAGCCAAAGTCTTGTTTTTTGGTGTGTTTCCCCTGCGTTTGGGCACTTCTGAAAGCACTTCTGCAAAGCCGGTGGAAACAGAAGTGAGGATGCCTTGTTCATATAGATACCTCTTTTTCTATTACACTATATGTAGCAAAACTCTTTTCCTTACTTCCTCTTGCTTTGTTTCTTGCTTTGTCACTTTCCCCTTGTCCTTGTCTCTTCTCTCTTTCTCTTTCTCTTCCTTTTCCTCTTCTTCTTTCTCTTTATCTGTTTCCTTTGTCTGTCTCTATCTCTCTCTCTCTATCTCTCTCTCTCTCTCTCTTTCTCTTTCTCTTTGTCCCTCTCTCTCTCTCTCTTTTCTCTTTCTTGTTTTCCTTCTTTCTTCCTTTGTCTCTTTCTCTCTCGCTCTCTCTCTCTCTCTTTTTTGTGCCCACCCCCCAACAAAAAGACGCGCGCAACATAAGTGAGATGCCCCCCCCAACACCAAAAAAACATACAACGCAAAAGGCAAGTCCTTAGAGAGAGGTCCAACAGACAATGCTTGGACACGAGTTGAATGCAGTCACTCTGTGAAAACAAGCGGCTTTTCTCAGTCTTGAGCCAAATGTTAGAGAGAGGTCCAACAGACAATGCTTGGACACGAGTTGAATGCAGTC